CCGCCCTGAGCCGCGCGCAGCCTTCCCCCCGCGCCGGCTGCTGCCCCAGCCCCAGCCCCTGCCCCTGCCCCTGCCCACGCGGCACTCGCCTGGCAGCCGGGTCGGCGAGCGGCGCCCGATGCCCCGCAGGAGAGAGGAGAGGAGCGGAGAGGAGAGGAGCGGAGCCGAGCGCCGTGCCAGCTCTCTGCGGGCACGTCCCTCCGCCTCGCCCTCTCCTGCCGAGTGACTGTATTGGCTCCTGCAGTCTAGGCGCTGGTATTGGGCAGGGCACCCATCCAGCAGGCGCGGGGGCTGGGAGGAGGCAGGGGACACAGCAACTGCAGCGCTGGCGGGAGCAGGCAATGCCAGGAGAGAGAGCTTGCCGTCGTGCAAGAGGGCGCACACCCGGGCACGCTGCGCCTGTGTCTTCTCAGCCCCGCAGGCCTGGCGCAGCTTCAGTTCCGCCGGGCTGGCTGCAGGATGGCCGATTGTTTTAGGACCTGATGGTTTCATGGTTTTTTGGGGGTGGAAAGGACACGATGATTTTAGCCAGGAGCAGCCCCTGTGGTAAACCAAGGGTGAGATGCAGTGCATTTGTCAGCGTGACAGATAAAATAGGCCGGGTTCTCCTGCAATCAGTGCGGCGGAATTGGCTTCCACGGAGCCTGGTTGTCAGGAGCTGTGCAGTGTTTGCAGAAGGGCGATTCAGTAAGTTTTTAGACGGGTTGGGGAATGGGGCGAACAGAAGCAGGCACTGGAAGTTATGAAGGATCTTCTCATATGCAACAAACATATTCTTTCTCTCCCTCTCCCCATCCAAAATCAACAGTGTAGTCCCATGCACCGGCACTTTAAAAGGGTAGAAGGGTCAGAAATAGCAAAGGCATTTGACAAGTCTGTAAAATAAGTCACATACTTATTTCCTTCCTAAACTGAATGGAGCCTAGATGACAAATATCTGGTCAGCAGCAGACATTGATATTTAGACCTGGATGTCCTAACTATGGACGTGTAACAGCTACAGGATTATGGTTACTACAGGGTTCCTGAATGAAGTGAGAAACTGAAAACTAAACCCCTGTGCAAGTGAGGATCTTATGCAGATTGAACGGTACAGGGTTCAGACAGGTAATCATAGTGCTGATCCACTCTCATAAAGTCAAGGGCTCGGATGGTGTAAGTAGACATAACTCAGGCAAGTTGAATGGACCTTCAGCCACCTAACAGTATAGAAATGAGATTCACTTATCTCTAGTCGGCAGAAGGCCATTGCTCCACTTGCATTTGACCTAAATTCTGTTAGGTAGGGTCTAAGTGGGTCTAAATATTGCTTGAGCAATATGGGTGAAAATCCTAGCAGTGATTTTCACCCGCAAGTGCATATCTTTACAAATGCCTGCAAGGAGATCAATCTGCCAGGGACGGCTTCTATAACTTACCTGGTGTGGCAGGGCATCTTTGGGTGCCAGCCACTTTAAGGGCAGAGACAGGCAACTTTGGGAACCCAGCCCAGGCAGAAACATCTCCTGGAGGAGGTGAGAGCAGGAGGCTCTTGGTCCTAGGCATGACCTAAAACTGCACCCTGCCAGGGAAGGGTGGCCTGGTGGGGCTCCTAGTGGTATGGGAGCCCCCAGGAAGTGCTAGGCCAGTGACCTCCCCGTTGAAAGGCAGGTTGGGGCACCTTAACCCCAGCCCCCACCATCTGGTGGGTAATTCTGAGAGCTGAGGGAGCAGTGGGGGCCAGGTATGTCCATGTGTAGGTGCCTGAGCCCAGCAGGGATGCAAATCCCGGAGGCCCCGGGGGGGCGGGGGAGGGGTAGTACATATAGTATTGGGAGGCCCTGCATAGAGTAGGGCTGAAGTGCAAGTAGACCTGAAGGATAGTTGCAGGGGTGCGCTGAGCAGGGCTGAATGGGAGTAATCCTGAAGGCCAGTGCAAGGGCCAGCCGTGTGAGAACTTGGTTGCAAGCCGGAGACAGAGACCCCAGGGTGGGATGTAGTGTAGAGTTGTCCGGTGTGGGACTTGGGGCAGAATTAGCCCAGGGTTTGGCACAAGGCTGAACCACATAGAGAAGGGGAACTTGTGGAAACCAAAGGACTGCATGGCAAGGCCAGTATGTGAGTAGCAAAGTCTGATGGCCCACGAGGGGCCACTCAAGGAAGAGCAAGGGCAGGGGAGTGTGGCCCAGTAATGGGCAGTATGCCAGAGGCCTCAGTGAGAGGGAGGCAGAGTGTAAGAGGCCTCCTGTGAGAGGGGAGGTGGTATGAATGAATGGGTGAGTGGAGCCCAACTTTGGACTGGGTTTGCTCCAGTCTCAGACCGGGGAACAATACTGATCTGGGTGCCATCTGCGAGGCATGGGCTGCGGTGTAGGGAAGGTTCAGAGCCGGAGATAGCGCCCTCTGGCATTGGGGCAGTATTGGGCAGTCTCCTGAATTATACCAACAGTTTATAGAACAGCAAGTTGTGGCAGGCGAGACTGGACAGACTGCCCTGTACAGACAGGTGGGCGGGCTGGCAGGAGATCCGGCCCTGAGAGCTGCCCCCTGTTATACCTGGTTTACCTTATCCATCTGCATTGGGCTGGTCAGTCAAAAGACATTTTTTTTCAGTGTGACTTTTTCACTTTTTCCATTAAGATGCAAATGAACAGACTTTGAATCTGAGGTGACCTGAGTGAGAACATGTCTCCAGTGCAATCCAGAGGTGTGTTGTTCGTTTCTGTAGACATAGTTGAATTCACTTTAACTACACCGTTCAGGTGCTGAAAGCCACAGCAACCAAATGTGTTTCTGCATAAGCTGCACAAGCTTCCCTGGACCCTGGGTATTGCTACTTAAATTAACTTGGACATATCTATGTGAAATGCAACTCCCCTTTGGACTGCAGCATGTAAAGACTCTGGGAAATGTCCCAGAACGTAAGACAATTTCCTTTCTACAACTCCATGGGTGCGTCTACGTGTGTATTTAATGCAGAGCAATAAACTCAACACTTACTATGCCAGAGTTTATTGCTGCTTAGTCAACTCCTCAGTAAACGTCTGGTACAGACATGCACTTTTGAATCTGACTAGGTTAACAGGACACATTCTGATGTTCATAAAAAGAATGTGTGTATTTGCATTGTGTAAATTCGAATATACAGCAACAACATCCATATTTGCTTCTGGAGCAGGAGGGAATTAAAGAAGTGGAGGCATATTGAGCTGGATGTTTGTTTCCTACAAGGAGCAGTCAAAGTTCTCTGTGCTGCAAATAAACGCAAGTTTGTTTGTCATGTATCTTTGTGATCTACTATCTTTCGGTTGTCTAGATTCAGAACCACAGCTTCCTAGGGTATACATCACCAGGCCTATTTTTAGGGTGTTTGGGATTCATTATTCATTGAGGCAGATCCTTAACTGATATAAGCCAACGTTGTTCCACACTGCAGCTTTGATTTATACCAACTAAGGCCCATCATGTTTGCCACTTACTTGGAAGCTGGGAAAACTTCACAGCATTCCAGTTCAAGCCCATGGTATCAGTGGAAGTTCTTGGGTTAACATTAAAGGTCTATGAACGGGATCTTAAAATGTTAATAGTTGCAAAGTGCTTTGATGAAAGGTGTTGTATTTATAAAAGTAAAATACTATTACCTCCCACCAATAGCAATAAGTGCTGTTGCTCAACAGTAATTACATTTTCTGTTCTCTGCTTTTGTACTATGTAAATATTCCTTTTTATTCCATTATATTGAGATGGCTTGTATTTTCAGTTTATCATAGGAGTTAGTCATTGCTAAGACCTATTACAGCCTGTGTCCAACGCGTAAGAGTACTAAACAGTCTATTATTTTCTTTGCTTTCAACAGCCTAGTTTTAAATGTTGTGGGATGGAATTTACAGCAAAAACTGTTCTCTATTGTATTAAATCTTGTTCCCTGTACTGCATCTCATCCCAGCTAAGGCTGTATATGTCTTCCTGTAACTTTTGCCCAGAATCACTTGTCTTCATTGATTCTAATTCTCCATCTGTAAAACAGGGGGAATAATCCCACCTCTTCATTATTTCTTTGGAGTTGAGGATTTGCTTGAATAGTGCCCTGAAAATGAAGTTCTCTCTAAGTATTTAGAAACCTGTTTGTGGGTAGGGTGGTCAGGAAAACAAAGCCATTAAAGTGATAGCCACAAAATGCACCAGTCAGGTAGAGAAAGCATTGAACTAATTTCGTGCCGGGTGAAATACAAGTCCATTGTTGTAAGTATAGGACAGAAAAAACAAAACAAAAAAAAACAACCACCCAACAAAAGGTTGTTTCCCTTGCAGCAAAGTAAAAACAACCTGTAGATTGTAAACTTGCTGTATACTGAAACTGTGAGAGTGAAAGAGGATGGTACATAATAGCTGTGTTTGAACTGATTCCCTTCATTGTTCAACAATTTTTATTTTGAACTCATGCTGAATGAACAAAGCCTGTGTTCTGCTTATTTTCTTTGGATTTTGCAGCTAGGCTCCAAAAAGAAAGCAGCAACTAGAAGCAGTTAGAAATTTCTCTTAAATACTGGCAGATTATAAAATTGCATTTTCATGCATCTGTCTTTTTTTTCAGGAAGTGTCCTTACTCCATGAAGATGGCACACAACTTGTTCATTTTCACTGACTTTGGTAACTATTTCTCATTTGGGACTATACTGGGAGGAAATAAAACCACTCAGTGATGAATACCTCTAATATCAGGGGCCGTACTGTGTTTGCACCTGACTGACCAAATGTATGGGTTCCTGTACAATGGGACACTGCAAATTGGCTCCTGATTTACCTTCCTCAAGGCACACAGACTCATAGCTTCCGTTCTGAGACTGGGCTTTATTGGTAGTGTGGCGAGGAAGGGGAAGTCAGTCACACAACCCAAACTGGTCACACATTCTTGACAACATTCCTGCCCATATGGTCAGATTTTGAAACATCCCTTATCTTGCTTCTGGGAGGAAGATAGATGCTGATTCATTCATCCTAAAATACTCCTGGCAGTTGCCCATCCACAATATTTTGCCAGGACTTGGGATTGTGACAGGGGGCCAGCTCAGGGCTGGGTTTCAACATTGGCCCACCCACTTGTTTAGGGCAGTCTGCCCAGTCTTGCCTGCCATGACTTGCTGTTTAATAACCTAGATATAATAAGCGGGAGGATGC